ACCTGCTGGGCCCTGCTAACAAGGTTTCCAATCAAGAGATGCCAATGCAAGTTGGAAATGGGAATTTGGGAATTAGCTAGCAAGGTGGCAAGGCAGTGGGCACTCATCTGTAGCTTCACCCACACCATCACCTCACAGAGCACCCCTCCTCCGTTCTTCACATCCCCACAGGAACAGCAGTGATACAATCAGGAGACGCTGCTTCTGTGTGACACATCACAGTGGGTCCAAACTGGAGATTTGCCTCTTGCCAGTAAGAGAATGAGCCCACAGTACCCATCACTGAGCCTCATTTCCTCTCCCACAGCAACACCTCACACATCACAGGCACCGAGTACCTTCTCTCCAGGAAGATGAATCAATAAGCCCGTCCCACAAAACCTCTTAATTGACTCTTAGTCACACGCTCAGCAAAGCGGCGCTTCTGCTTCCTCACCTGCCCAGTTTCTGTCCTTCTCCAGTAAAAGCTTTGAAGACACTTTTAGGTTTCACATACTCCTCATCACGGTGATCCTCCATATCCAGGTTCACCTGCCCGCCTCGCGCCAACCTGCGCAGCTCTGCGGGGACTTCCCTGCAAAGAGAGGGTCTGAAGGAATCTGCCTGAAGAAGCAGATCAGGAAAACACTGAAAGCAGGATCTGGGGCAGCCAAAAAAACCTTTGGAATTTCATGCACTCCTGATTAACTAACAAGGCAGGTGTGCACCTCCCCACTAACAGACACAAGCTCAAGGTTACTTTTCCCTGCCCTTCACCCGGAATGAAACGATGCACTGGAAATCCTCAGCCCAAATACAAAAGTCTGTCTGTTCACTTTGAAACATCAAGATCCTATAAAAACCAAGGCAACTGCCCATGAGCCTTAAGTAAATCTTCAAGTGTGCCTTCCCAAACCTTTTGTATGGAGAATTTAGCCCTCGGGTAAAACGTGTCATAGATTCACGATCCTGGATACCACAAAAACCCGTGTTTCAGCAAATAGCTTTTCTTTCACTCCCTTCTTGCTACATAACAACACACCAAAACAACAAGTTTTGTTGCCACGTACCCTCGGCGGATATCATCAAGGAACTGGGCATTGGATGGATCCTGGTAGCTTCTCAGTTCGCCACTGTCCAGACTGAATCCACTCTTCCAGAGCTTCAGTACAACGTGCACCTGCAGCAGAGCCCAGACAACCATCAGTCTCACTGGAACACCTCAGTAAAGGCAACCAGAAGCAAAATGAAAAGCTGCTGACTGGCAGAGGAGTTTCAAGCAGCAGAAAACATCCCAGCTATGTGCCACTGGGTTGATACAGTCAGTGGTGAGAAAAAAAAAAGCACTGGCTATGTAATGATCATTCATCAGCTCCTAGATGACAACACAGACCCTTTTCTGATAAAAGCTGTTGAAAAGCCAAGTGTTTGACAGGGGCCTAAACCAAGCTCCCATCAAGGCCTCGATAGATATTTGCTCACAAAGCAGAAGGGGTCCTTGCACTGATGCTGTTGGTTCTGCATCTCTTCAACAGTTAAAGCCTTATCACCCGGTGCTCTTTGCACTCTGTTTTTTACCATCAGTATATTCACACTACAGAGGCTGAGAAAAGATCCCCGTGCTTCTAAAGAACACTCAGGTAATTAACAAGCATTGGAAAAACTACTGCATAAGACCCAAGCACGTGCATTTCTTTTTTCCTCCTACCAGAAATCCCACAGGAAGCAGAATTTATCATATTTCCATCCTCCTGAATTTATATCGAGCTTTGCAATTCTCTGACTCACAAGCTTTCACTTGTAGCAGTGCAATCCCCCAGGTGACCACTGCAAAACAACAGAAAGGCACTCACATCCTGAACAGAGTTCTGTCTCCTCTCTCCTGCCACGTAGGCAGACTCTTCCTCTGGAGTAGCTCCAAGGCGATATCCTCCCCCTGCAAAAGGCTGCAGAAGAGGCAGGCAAAGAGGTTACAGGATGACATGTAGCCAGGACACCATGATTCCCTTTCCCCAACATCCTTCTGAGGGAAAGCAGAGGACTTCAAAGTATCAGCAACATTTGCTGGCCCTCAGGCTCAGCGACCAGCTTGGACTAGTTAATAAATACGGCACAAAGCAGCTTTTCTTACCACCACGACATGGAAATAAGAGCTGCAATAACACAGTAGTCCAGACTCAGATGTTCCTTTAAGATAGTTTTAGTACTCCACAGGACCAACCAGCTGTCACAGTGGGAGCCACATACAGATAACTCCAACAGAGAAAGAGAGAAAAGAAGGAAGAACTCATCACTCCTCACTTTAGGCTTGCTACTCTCGCCGCTGCTTTTGGCTGTCCGATCAACTGCCACTGCACCGTGCTCCTTCGCTCCCTTGAACAGATCCTCCACCAGCTCATTGGGACTCTTCTTCCTTGGAGGACCAACAATCTGTTGTCCACTTCTCTCTGAGCCACCGGCATAAAACCTAGAATGAAAACACAGCCCGTCTGTGCAGGAGCAGAGCACAGTTCCTACAGGACACATGTGACAGGATCCAGCACATTTACACCAGGATTCAGCAACAAGCTGCTACTTACTAAGGAAATAACTGGCACTTGGAGGGAAGGCAAACATTTATTCTGCACTGAAAGATCACCACTCGCAACAGGACTAAGTGGGAAGCAATGAGTGCACTGTCAGTGAAGTGCAAATAAGCACTTGTGGAAGACTGGGGTTATTAGCTTCCAGCTGGCTTGTAACGCATCCAGAGCAAGCTCACAGCTGACTGCAGAGGACCAGGTGGCCTACCTGCACTGAGCACCCTTAAATCACATCAGTTCCACTCAATTTACCTTGCTTGTGAACCTAAAGAGTATTTAACTGCTTACAGTTGACCCAAGATCCTTCAGTACAGGAACTGCACGTCTACTTAAATCTGCTTTACAAACATATGTATTCCTGTACACGGGCAGCAAGCTGCCACAGAACAGCAGGGATAAAACACACAGGTTTCAAGGCTGAGAACTCACCGCTGTCCCTCTTCTTCCTCATCATCATCCTCCTGTGCATGAACAAGGTCTCTAAACGACGTTACTCGGTGGTCACTGCAAAAGTTGATCACAGTACATCAGCCTCATGATACACTTCAACCACATGAGCAGAAGTTCCTAAGCACAGCATGTTAGGTTGACTCTGTTCTACTTTTAGGCTCTGACTCATTGCTCTACAAAATCACAGGTCAGCAGTGGTGTAACTGAGCAGTGAATAATGTTCTTGAACCTCTGTGCTGATCGCATCAACACAAAACAACCGACTGCAGGCCCAGCAGCAGAATTAACTCTTCAGCCATCTTCCTGCTCACATACTGAATTTCATTGCCATTCCCAAATACAGTTTCTCTTCCAGACCCCAGTAAAGTCAAGCCTCCAAGACCACTCTTGTTTGCCTGTGATTCAAACTGAAATCCAATCCTTTCACAATATGAAATTTATTTCAGAGCCTGAAATGAGAGCACTCTGCCTTCGCAGTACAGTAACTCCTCTTTAAGACTGGATAACATTTACTGCACAGGGACTTGGTATGGCCCAATTAACTTTCCTTGTAAAATACTTAACAGACAAGGTGCAACAGAAAATCAGAAAATGCTTATCCTATATAGGTACAGCCTGCTTGAACAAAAGTGTCACTGACCATGTGATTGCCTCTAACCTCAGAACACAAATCTAGTTTTTTCCTGAGCAATGAAGCAAGTCATTCAACTGATCTTTGGATCAGTTGTGCAATAAGGCCATGCTCGTGATATGGAAGTGTTGTTGTTGATTTCAATGCTTCTAGAGAGCCGTATGAGGTGAAGCAGTTCTAACATCATGACTATTATTCTGAATACAAGCAAATGCTGATGCTTTAAATACAGCACAGGGTTGGTTTTTTTAATGTAATTTGTTTTCACCGTGAGCCTTAAAGCCCTTGCTAAACAAACCAGGCCAAACTGAAGCTCTCTCCTCACCTGGCTGCAGTGCCTCTGGATACAGAGCTGGGTGTTGGCTGGGGGAGGGTCAGGATGTCCTCATCACCCCCATCCTCATAGAAACTGGCAAGGGCGATCTGAAATGGAAAATCCAGGAGTGTTTCAGGATGAGATCAAAGATTCCACAGCAGCAGATCAAACACACACACACACACACACACACACACACTAATAACATAACTGAAGGTTCTGTCACGCTGGAATTCTGACACACCGACTGCAGCCATTTTACGGGCTTTCCCCCTTTGGATGTCCCAGCAAAGACAGGTCACTACCAGCCGTGCTGCCCGGGTTTGCTATGTGAGGTCATCACGACTGCACGCGTTCCTCCCCGACCCGAGGCTCCCATTTCTGAAGGGTTACGCTGCAGGAACAGCCCCCAAAGCACCGGGGCTCAACAAAACCCTCGCCCTCTATTAATGAAGTTGACTTAACGAGATAGGCGGATCCAAATCGAGCTCCGGACCCGCGAAAACGGCAGACCCGGCCCTGACGAGACGCTGAGGGCCGAGGGGGCGGCGGGCCGAGGGCCGAGACCGCAGGAGGCCGGGCCGGGCCGAGCCGAGCCGAGCCGAGCCGAGACGAGCCCTGCACCGCCCCGCACCGCCCGGCCCCACCCCGGCCCCTCCCACAGCCGGCTCGGAACGGCGCTACCTGGAGATCCCAACCGGCGGACTCGAGAAAGAACCGCGCTCGCTCCTCCTCAGCTCCCGTCACGGCAACGAATTCCCTCAGCGCCTCCTCCCGGTCCGCCATCTTGCCGCGGTGCAGCGCGCAAATCGCTCCGGGTCCCACAGCCCCGCCCCGCCGCGGTGCGCACCGGAAATCGCTCCGGGTGGGAAACGCGGCCCCTCCCGCTCCGCTCCTCCCAAGAGCGCCCCCCTGCGGCCCGGCGGGATGCGGCCATGCGTTGCGCCGCGCCTCCCGGAGGGCCAACCCTGCCCCGACGTAGGAAAGCAGCGCGAGGATGAGGTCGGCAAAACGTATTGATTTTGGCACGAGTTTGTGTGGAGTCGATGATTTTATCTTTAAAATTCGTGCAGCGAAGCAGCGGGAAGCACGAGGGCGCAGGCCGGGCCCATCCCGAGCGCTGCGGGCGGAGCTGCGGGGCTCGGAGGCGATCGCGGAGACGCTGCTGTCCAGGGCAGCATCAGGGCAGGAAGTGCTTGAAGAGGAAGAAGAGGACGAGGGCGAGGAGCGCCTTGCCCAGCAGCAGGCCGAGCCATAAACCGGGGCTGGACAGGAGAATGGCACCTGTGTGGGTACAGACACGAGTGTGTGGCTTGGGGCACGCAGCCCGCAGAACAACGAGCTCCGCCCAGCTCGTCCTGCAGCTCTCGTGCACCGCTGTCTTCAATAGAACTACCTTCGGGTCCCCACTGGGCTGCGACAGCCACCTGCATGGTGCCCGTGCTGGAGACGGGCTCCTGGTCCTCGTGCACCACCCGGCAGGTGAAGCTGGAGCCGCGCTTCTCCTCCACCGCCTGCACCGTCACCGTGCTGTTCAGCTCAAACAAGCCCTGGGGGGTCTCTGCTGGCTGCGTGGTGCTCCCCGCGTTCAGCCCCATCCCGTTCTCCAGCCAGGTGACGTTCACAGCTCCCGGGTAGAAGCCCTGCACGCGGCAGCTGAAGGTCACCGTCTTGTTCACCTCCACGGCGCCCGGCGGTGCAGCGACCACAGACACGCTGGGGGGAACTGGGAAGAGAAGCAGCGCCTGGAGCCGGTGTCCCTGAGCCCACGGCTCAGCCCTGCCCCAGCCCCGGGGCTGTGAGCCTCACCTCGCAGTGCCTGGCCCAGCGCGTACGTCCTCCTCAGTGGGGCTGCCAACGTGCTGTGCTGCACCTGGCAGGTGAGCTGTGAGCGCACGTCGTCCTTGGTCAACGTCACCTGTACGGTGCTGAACATGTTGTAGGAGGAATGTGACTGCTCTGAGGTGATGTGGGGCAGCACAGCCTGAACTGGAACGTTGTTCTTGAGCCATTGCACCTGGATGTCACGGGGGAAGAACCCTCTGGCACTGCAGGTGAAGGACACCGATTGCCCTGGCTCCGCTCGGCGACTCGGCCCTGACACGGTCAGCTTGGAGGGTCTGGCTGTGGGAGAAGCGTTGGCCCATCAGGGAGCGTCCTGCCCATCCCAGCCCCAGAGGAGAGCCCACCAGGACAGGCTGGGAATCCACTCACCGTGCACCAACACCTCCGTGCCCCCACCACTCTTAAACAGCTCATCTCCAAAGATGACTTTTCTAAACTTCACACAGTAATAGGTGCCAGCATCCTCAAGACGAACATCCCTGATGTGGATGGTGAAGTCTGTGCCGGATCCATTGATTGCTCTCATCACACGTGGGGAGGAGCCTTTGTGATCATAAATGGTCTGATTGCTGCTGCCCCAGCCCTTCAGCCACTTCACGGGGCCAATAGGATGAAATGCAGACACTGTGCAGTTCAGGGTCAGTATCTCCCCTTTGATCACCACCACCGGGCCCTGGGGCTGCTGCAGCTTGAAGTCCGGATCCTTCTGGGCACCCACACCTGGGGACAGTGACAGGAAAGTATGGGGCTGGCAAGAGGCTCTGGAGCCAGGGTGCAGCACAGGGCCGTGCTAGACCCCAGAGCAGGAGGCAGAGAGATGTCCCCATCCCTCACCACCCATGGCAGCTGGCACTGTGACACTGTGGGACAAAGACTACAGGTAGTTGGATGTGGTCACATAAAGAAAAGTGCTTGGCTGGGGATAAAAGCAAGCTGAAATGTGGGAGAGAATAACCCCAAATATCTTTGGGCTCGAAGAAGGGTTGCCCTGCCAGCAGCAATGGGGAGTGCGTTCTGGGAAAGGCTGCAGCTGTGCAGGACCACACACTCACCTGGGACATTCTGAAGCAGGAGCAGCACCAGGCAGGTTAGAGGCATCGCCTGCAGTGCCCGAGTCGTGCTGATTGCCATGTTCTACTACCTGCTGCTGTGGCTCAATGTGGCTCTGAGTGGTGTGGCCCCAGGCTCTCTTCCTGCTGAAACGGGAAGGAAGGGGTTTGGGTTTTTCCACTGACCAAGCTCCTCTCTGCAGCCCTGTGCAATCCCAGAGGGTGCCGATGTTGTTTGTGGCACCTTGTTTTGATGAGTGTTCCTTGTCATCAATGCTGGTCCCACTCCACCCTTGAATGAGTGACACTGCCACAGCCACCAACATGGGGCAGCCAGAGAGACTGGCTCCAAACCGATGTGCACCTCAAGCAAGGCAGGCTGCTGTGCCACTTGTGCAGGGCTTCCACATAGCCCCCCTACTGCTGAGGCTGTCTTGCTGAGATCAAGGTCAGAGCTGCTCTCCTGCCCTGCGCCCATCACAGCCCCTCCAGCCCTAAGCTCTGTGCAGGGGTTGGGGCGAGCTCAGGGTGCACCAGTCCAGGATGCACTTTGAGGTTTAAGCCCCGCTGAGCTCCCTGCTGGCTCAGTGTCCTACCGGCTGCCCCGTGCAGGCACCAAAAGTGTTAACAGCATGCGCCCGCTCGCCTCCATTTCCTGTGCAGCTTCTCATTTTCCTTCTGGAGTCAGAGCCCAAACTTTTGGCAGCGCCGATGGCTGAGCTCCGTGCTGTGCTGCTGCTTCGGCTCTTGGTTGGGCAGCTCAGCCTCTTCCTGGCGTGGCTGTGGGGTGAGTACGGGGCAGTGCAGCAGCAGAAGCTGTGGTCAGCTCTCTCTGTACCTGTTCCTGCTGGCTGGCACAGCCACTGAGTGCTGCTGGCTGGGAGGGGTTGACGCGGCCGCAACTGGGAATCTGCTGTCTGCATGCCTGCAAAAACAAACCTTGGATGGGGGCTTTTCTCTTCTGACGTTCTGGGCTTGTGTGGGGTTATTTGGGGTGAGGGACTGCAGGGTGTGCGGACAACCCACCTCCCTCCCCAGAGCTCCTTGGCCATTTCCCCCAGCATTGGGACGTGGCTCTTGGCCTCAGGTGTGTGCCCAGAGTGAGGGAGGTGCGGGGTCTGGTGCACTGCACTTTGTTGCCCTGAGGAAGCCACATCCAAAGGCTTTGGGCAGGAGGGGCTGAGGGCAGGAGTTGGGATCCTGTTGAAGACATTTAGCAGCCATGCTGGAGGGAGAGGAGGGCTTTTTCCTGCCTGGCTTCCCCCCCCTCCCCTCCCCCCCCAACACCTGGCAGCTCTAGTGCCAGGTATAAGGAACACAACAGGAGTCAAAATCTCTCCCCATGCCCATTTTGAAGCTGGCTTCCACCACTCCTATTGAGTGCCATTTTCTTACCCAGCTCTATTTCTCAACTGAGGCGCTGAACAAGCAGTGGCTGCTCTGCCTGTGCTGGGCAGGAGGAACAAAGCAAGCTGTCCTCTCCTTGCTGAGCTCTGACCCTGCTGCGCTGTTGTTGTCCCCACATGCAGGTGCCCAGGCAGGATGGGGCTTCAAGCTGCACCAGCCCGAGAACAAGGTGTGGGTGGCCATGGGGCAGACGCTGACCCTGACCTGCACAGTGACTGGATTGGGTCCCCCCGGCCCTGTGAAGTGGCTGAAGGGCTGGGGCAGCAGCAATCAGACTGTGTATGATCAGAAAGGCTCCTCACACCGCGTGACGAGGGCAGTGAATGAGTCCAACACAGATTTCACCATCCACATTGAGGACATCCACCCCGAGGACGCCGGCACTTATTACTGTGTGAAGTTTCACAAACAGATCTTGGGTGATGAGTTGTTCGATCACGGTCGGGGCACGAAGGTGTCCGTGTATGGTGAGTGGGCTTCCATCCCCGCGTGACCCCATCGTGGCTGTCCTGGCTCAGCCCCAGCCCTGCCCACAGCCCGGCCCACGCTGCACTGTGCCCACCACCTTCTCCCTGCTTTACTTTGTGTCCCCACAGAGACCTCTCCGTTCCCCAGCATGGCGGTTGCAGCTGCTGTGCTCTGCTTCATCCTCCTCATCTTCGTCCTCGCCTTCTGCTTGTACCGCAGGAAGCAGAGGGAAGGGGAGCAGAGCCAGCACGTGGCTGAGGTGACCACAGGCAGCTGCTTGCCCTTCCCTCTCCCATGCTGTGCAGGGAACCCTGGCACCCCCAGGTTGGTATTCCTGCCTTTTCCCTCTGCACCGTGAGGTGAGCAGGCTGCCTCACTTAGCTGCAATTTAGGGAAAGCACCATATTGTTTTGCTGGGCCTGGGTGGTGTTTGCTGTGGGTGTGGTGAGGAGCTCAGCTGCCTTGTCCTTGCTCTAACAACTGTTCTTTCCTCCAGCAGTGAAGTTGAGGATGCAGAGAACCCAAAGCTGCCCCACCAGGTACGAGCAGGGGGTGGATATGGGGCAGAGTGATGCCCTGATGCAGGACCTTTGCCCAAAAGCTCCAGTAATGCAGCTGGTGGTGGGTGGTGGGTGAGCATCCAGCTGTCCATGCACTCCGTGTGGAAGCTGCCATGCAGGGGTGATTATAGCAAGATTTTCTACATTCTTACAGCAAAGCAGTGAGGTGGACAAGGACATCCATTATGCTGACCTGCAGCCGCTGCCTGCAGCACGGTGGCCCAGCGGGAGCCCTGGTGCTGAACGCTCTGAGTATGCCAGCATCAGGGGAGCTGCTAAGTGAGCTGGCCCTGCCACAGCAATGAGGCAGGAAGCAGAGACTTTGTGCGGGCACCAGAAAGAAGAAGTGGAGCTGCTTGGAGCCGGCCAAGCTTGGCACGAGGATCTCAAATCTCTCCTTCCTGTCTTGGTGGCCATGCCAGGCAGGGGCAGGCTCAGCTCAGGCTCAGCAGAGCCTCTCCAGGAATCAGCAGCCCCATGGAGTGCAGGATCAGGGCAGTGAGCTGAGCACCTTTGCCTTGTGCAAGCTGTGCAGTGCTGTTGGCTCCAGGATGACCTCATGAATGTCTCCACCAGCACAGGCCACCAGAGCTCAACAGATCCACGATTCGTATCATCCCATCACCACACCAAGCTCATCCCCATTAAAGCCAGCAAACAGCCATGCCACCTGGTCCTGCTGTGTTCAGAGCCAGAATGATGCTGCAGTGGCAGCAGGGGCCTGGAGATGTGTGGCCACCACAACTTCATGCCCAGTGTGCTGCTGCCAACTCCGTGCTGAGCCCCCCAACAGCTCCCACCAAGCAGGGCTGGGATTAAATAAAGCAGAACCCCAGCTCTGCTCTGACCCGCCTGGATGGTTGGTGAGAGGCAGGCTGGGCTCCCTGGTCCTGCAGCTCTGGTGCCTGCCATGTTCATCTCCAGCCCACTCCTTCCTTCCCTCAGTCCTCTGTAACCCACATCCTGTGGCCACACGCCGGGAGGAGGACGGAGCGAGGTGGAGGCAGGGAGCTGTGTCATAGGCTCTTTTCCTGCAGAGAAATCATTGCAGCTGCCTCTGACCTTGAAAGCTGTATGCACTTATCAGCTTTCAACTATTTTATCTGCTTTTCTGTGAAATAAAAAAAGGGAAGTGAAAGAGGACAGCGTAAGATATCTGCATGTGTGCACGCAGGGGAACTGTATGGGGACACAGAGATTGTATCGAGGGGCAAATTGTCGCAAGGGGAGGGAAGGCACTTGTGAAATTCATTTGCATGGCTGAAGCAGCATCCCCTGCATCAGGGGACAGGTCGTGGGGATGGTTTCGGGGTTATTCTCCCTGGGGAGCAGCTCAGAGGCATGCAGCAGCCCTGTGCACGGTGCTGGGTGTTTGTAAGGAGCCCAGTGCTTGTCCTCCTCTACACAATGCTGGAGGGCACACAGGGGCTGTGGCACCGGGAGCTGGGATGGAGCTCTGGAGCTGGGAGCAATGCAGCTGAGCAGAGCTGATGGCGAAGCAGGGGCTGCCGCAACCGGGGCAAAGGGTGCCCAGCCCCATGCCTGGGGGGAATGAAACCAGGGAGAGTCCTCGCAGACAAGGGGAAACGAGATTCGAGGGCATTCAGCGCTTTTGAAGCTCTGGGCTGGGCCAGGAGGGGGGAAATCCAGTTTGATGCAAGCATATGCAAAGCAGCAAGGGGCAAGTGCACGGTGGAGCGCTGTGCACCTAGGAAAGGCCCAGGTCTGCAGCTTACGGCCCAGGAGAGGGATTTGGTGGTTATTAAAGGAAAATCCTTTAAGCCATCAGCCCGGGGTGTGCCAGCAGTGAAAGCACAAACAAGCGTCCCAGCGTGGACACAAGGTAGGAGCGCACCGGGCAGCGCCATGGGGATCAATGGGGGTCCATGCACTGAGAACGGGGGTGGTGGTGGGATCCAAGCTGTGCCCTCAAGGATGAGCTTTGCACCGCTGGCCCCGAGAGCTGGGAAACGGTTCTGAGGCTGCAGGGGCTGTGCCAGGAGCTGGCGTGGGAGGAGTGGCTGTGGGGAAAGCAGCGGGGAGCACGAGGCTCCAGCAGAATGCGCGTGGTGACAGTGAGAGATTAGTCCAGGGGGAGAGAGTGATGGACGAGGCAGGTCCAGCAGTGAGGAGAGGGGGAGGAATGGTTGAAAAGCAGTGAGGAAGAGTGTGGTCTCGGCTAGCAAACGAGGATGGATGGACAGGAGCATGGCTGAGTCACTCCTGCTTTGGCTCCATGGTGTCCACACCGGGTGCCAGGGCAAGGAGAGGCTTTGCTCATCCCTGGGGGGCAGGGGGCTGGCAGTGCTTGCAAGGAAGAAGGACAAAGCTGAGCCTGTGCTGGAGCCAGGGCTGAGCAGGGGGGAAGGGAAGAGGACAGGGATAAATGTGTGAAAAGCAGAGTCCAGCGCTGGCTGTGCCTCCTGCAGGGATGGGCTGTGCCTTGGGGCTGCCTCTGTCCAAGATGCTCCTGCTCTGACCCCATCCCTGTCCTCGCCACCAAGAGACTGCGGTGGCCACAAAACCCACAGGAAAATGGCCATGGGACAAAGAACATCCAAAGCCACAGGGACCCCACGATGCCATTGGGTGCTGATGGTGCCCCGCTATGCTGTGGGGACCGGGTGATGCCATGGGGATGCAGTAATGCTGTGGGGATCCTGCAATGCCATTTGGGTCCCCGATGCCTTGGGGACCAGGTGATGCCATGGGGATGCCATGCCAGGACACCAATGGGGAGCAGCCCTGGGAGCTCATGTGATGCCAGTGTCTGTCCCCAGGCTCCGTGCTGTGCCAGGCTCTGTGCTCCCATCTCAGGGGACAGAGAAACTCAAAACCCAGCAGCCCTCAATTTATCAGGGCAGCATTTTAATCGGAAAGCAAAGAATGAAGCAGAAGTAAGGCAGTGACACGTTTTGTGCCGTTCTTGATTTATTTTGTGTCTTCCTTGTTGAACCTTATTCCTATGTTTCGTGCTTATTGTGGATTTTTATTAAAGGGGATAAACAGGGCTGGGATTTGGGGTTGTCATAGGAACTGCTTCAGTGCTACAGCCTCATTGCCAGCTTTGTCCTTCCCCCCAATTTCCTGATGTGGAGAGGCCTCGGCTCTCTCCAGGTTTTCTTCCAGCCCTGTAGGCTCAGCATGGACGCAGTGCATCATGAAGCACCGTCATTCCACAGGAATGGGGCTGTACTGCGGCACGGTGGGACCTTCTGTATCCCTGACTATGAAGGCAGGGGGCCCTGCTGGGTGCTTGGGGTCCTCAGGTCTGTGCCATGCCTGGGGACATCCATGGGAGCCCCAAGCTGAGCTGTGAGCTGAGGAGCAAAGCAGCTCTCTGGAGGATGCTGCTGGTGCCTGAGAGGAGCTGTGCTGGGAACCACCCTGCCCTGCCTGGTGCCATTTCTGTGACATCGCTGGAGTTGTGGGGCAGATTGGAGATCTGCTCTTCTGACCATTCCCCATCCTCCCTGCCACAGGCCTTAGGGGACAGAGAGTGAAAACGAAAGCTGTCAAACACATTTAGAAGGAAATCCTTTACACCCAGTGCTCATTTAGCCTCGGCGGTGCTCCGCTGGGGGGATGTCATTGAGGCCACGGTGCTGGCAAGGATTACAGAAGGATTTCCAGGGCTGTGGGACGAACAGGAACATTCAGTGCTGAAGAAAGACTCACTTTGTGCTCTTGGTGTTTGATGGGACATTGCCTGGGGACGGCGGCCACCAGAGCCAGCACTGCTGCCCTGCCTGGGATCAGCACCCATGGGGGCAATGGGGCAGGCAGGGGGGGGGGGTCCTGGTGACACCGGGGGCACCCCGTGCTCCTCCTGTGGGGTCAGCTGCAGGTGACACAGCTCCCTGCGTGCATCCTGCCCCAAAGAGCTGTGTGCAAAAGGGTTCAGCTCCAGAGGACAAACTGCTGCAAAGGGGTTTTACGTAGGAAATGAGCTGCTGGAGGTGGGGGGGGGGTGCTGTGGGGTTGGACAGGATGCTACAGGAACCCCATCTCCAACAGCATGGAGCGACCTTAAAGCTCGGCTGCACTTGGCTGCAACCTCAGTGCTGGCAGCGCCCCGAGCCCAGCACAAGTGCCCCTCTTAGGAGAAGTGTAAAGGAAAGGAAAAAATATTTAGAGAGGCAGCAGAGCACAGCAAGCAGGAGCAGTGTGGCCGTGGTGGATGCGCCCATGGTGCTGCCAGCGCAGAGGGGCCGTGCGGTGCCAGCGGTGGGTGCAGCGGGGTGCCCTGCGGTGCACCCCATAGAGCAGGATGGGGCCCCACAGGGGGCTCAGACTGCGGGATGGGGGGCACAGCGAGGAAACAGCGTGGTCTGTAAATAATTGCATCTGACAGATCCATTTCTTCCACAAGGTTCAGCCTTAATTTTATAATGGTAGCGGTCACTATGGCAACGTGTAAAAATAACGTATCCCCGAGCGAGGCAAATTCCCCATAAACATCTCCTGCTTCCAGGAGCGAGGGGAGCCCCAGCCGTGGGGATGCGTGCAGGAGAGCCACTGCTTTGGGCACGGCAGCACCCCAAACCCCACGTCCTTTTGGCTGCCAGCACCCCGCTGCTGGGACAGGCCGGGTGTTTGGGATGGGATCAGCTCGGGGTTTAATTAACGGCGTTAAGCGCTTACGCCCCGCGACGATGATTTTATTCGTTAATCCTTCGGGCGATGCGGAACGCACAGCAGCTAATTGGGTGGATATCATTAATGCTGGCGGCCAGAGCTGCTGCTAAAGGGCTGCAGTGCAATGATTGCTGGAGCGTTTCAGCTGTGCCATAACACCGAGGTTCGCTCCATGTGATTGAACTTCATGCCCTGCACATCGCAGGGCAAGAGCTCTGCCCCAGGCTCTGGCGATGCCCTCGGTGTCCCATGGCACTGCACTGCTCCCTTAGAGGGGTGGGATTGGTGGCACTGGCCACAGCTGGGACCCTGCATCCACAGCCCTGTGCCATGCACACGCACACACGCATGTGCAAACACGTGCAATGCAGATGCAACACACACGCAGTGCACACACAGAACGGGCTCCCCACGGACGTGCATCCTGTCTGCAGACATCTGCTGGTGCTCATCCTCAGCTCACAGGTCTCAGGACACCACACAGAGCCCCTAAATCATGGAATCATTGAATGGCCAGGGTTGAAAAGGACCTCAAAGATCATCTAGTTTCAACCCCACTGCTGTGGGGAGGTTTACCAGCCACTAAACCAGGCTGCCCAGAGCCACATCCAGCCTGGCCTTGAAAATCTCCAATCCCTCTCCATAACTCCGCTGCCCTGTTCTGTGCTGACCACACTACTCCAGGGCCGGGCCAGAACCAGGGAGCAATGCAGCCACCAGGAGCACAGTGCATGTTTTGCAGAGCCTCGTTCTTTCTGTTGCTCCCCTAGCCCCCAGGACACATCCCTGCTACGTCCAGGCTTTGGGTCCTGCAGCACGTCCAGCATGAGCTCTGACGAGCAGGAAGCGATGGGCTGAGATAGCACACTGTGATCAATCCTCCTGCATCTGCATTTTTGTTTCCATCCACTTTATCGGGCAGCAGTGAGGTACAGCCACCACAGCCTGGGGAGCACACTGAGCATTATCTGCTGCTGCAGCCATGGATGCACTTTTGTGATAACAGCTTGCCGTCAACAAAGAACTCTGAGAGGATACGGAAACAAAAAGAGAAAAGCAGAAGAAAATCAAGGTGCTATCACCCCTCCCTTGGCCAGATCCTCACCCTGTCTGCTGTGGCACTGCCTAAGAGGGAGCCCGGGGTTTCTCCAGCACTGTTCCATGGGGCTGCCTGGTTTGCTCCCATTGACCCTGCAGCACCCAGGAGCACGCTGACCCTGCACTGCTGTTGGAGAATGGAGCTGAGCATGCAGAGCTGCAGGCAGCCTCACCACTCACAATATCCCTGAGCTCTGCAGCCCAGGGGTGCAGGATTGGCCTCTCTGCTGCTTTGTGACCCGGTCCCCATGTGTCCCCTGGTACCACAGGATCTCAAATGTCCCCAAGCATCAGAACCCACAATGGGAGAGCAAAGCCTCCTCCAGGGCCAGATGCAGGATCCTGCTCACTAGCTTACACTGACTGAGTGCTTTCAGCATTGTGTCCCCACCACCTCCTGTCCCTGC